AGGACCCTTGTTTCCTAAGAGAGCAACTGCCCCATTGCTTTTTCACCATGTGTGATCATAATATTCTGTCCTACCGTACTCACATCAACAGACATCGATATCCTAGGCAGAACGTTTTTTACTTCAACTGAATAATTGTTTGAAGGACCACGTGCTCTCTTAAAAAATAAAGATCATGGAGGTTTTATTTGTATGTGATTGCTCTTAATAAAGAATGAGAAGCAAAATACAAACTGACAGAGTTTATTTACCATCTGTTGTATTTTTAAGCAAATTACCACAATTAAGAATACAGGTTTTGGTGGTTTGTACAAATACAATGTACAGCATTGTGAAGTGTTTTTACATGTATGTAGAGCCCTAGGTAAGACACAATCTCAGCTTCCTACCTCTTTAAGATAGGATTTTCAAGCTCTGAAAAACAGATTGGTGTCCTTTCTGTGGACCTTCTTGCAAGGGAGAGCAGCAGGTATTTTCGTGATGTCCTTTCTTAGGAAGCAAGAGAAATCTAGGACAGTGAGCATAGTGATGGTTAACCATGGATGTAGGTTAATAGTCACTCTGCCACCGTGGCAAGTCAGATGTTTAATTGCCACACTCTGCTTTTGACTATAGTGAAAAACCAAAATACATGGGCCTGATTAACTTTTGCCCTGCTCCTTATGTTGAGAGTTAACACCAGTGCACAGTGGGTGTAAAACACTACCCGATCAAAAGGTAGTGCTTTAGGCTCCCCTTACAGGCGTAAATGACAGCACAAGGTGCAGGTCCACAGTGAATCAAGCCCTGCTACTTTCAGTTATTCTAGATAATTATTTTGTCACATTGGATCTAACACAAAGTCCTTCTATGTGTATAACATATAAATGATGTTTGCTAGAATCTAGTACTCTTTGCTAAATGTTATTTCTATGAGAGAGACTTGAGCCCTGCAAGTCCAGTCTAGTTTAAGTTCTTAAAAGGTTGTTGATGCCGCCTTATTTTCCATTTGGTTTTCAGTGCCTTTTCATGTCGTTTCATGCTTTCTGTAAAGCTAAAGAAATCAACACGGAAGGAATTCAGGAAGACAGGCAACTAAATTGTGATTTTTTTTTTTTAAACCATCGTGAATGAATGCTCTATTTTTGTTAACTTGGTTTTTTCTACCATAGGTCTCAACAAATGGCAGCATATTACATCAGACAGAGTCCTGCTGCTCCCTTACATTATCTGACAGACCACTGTGGATTCAGATTGGGGGCATTGAAGTTAACAGTGAATTGGCAGGTCTGTCTGTTTTAAGCCCTGCCTAAAGTGAAGGGGGCAGTATGTCATCAGTTAATCATCCCCCAAAACAAGTTAGGTGAGAGCTGATGAATTCATCACTCACTTAATTTCCTACTTCCATTTGAACTTGGTGCACCTGTACCTCATGTGCAGACCGTACATTTCAGCTGTTTCCACTGACACATATGTGGTGATAAGGTTGATGTGTATTAGCTTCAATTTATTCAAGAAAATTTCCTTTTCAGATTGGCTTCCGAGATTTGCATTTTATGATCATATTGAAATAACAGAGCTCTGGGTAAAGGTAAAATTGTTTTATAACAAAATGAGTACGGTATCTTTTAAGATGAGGATCTTAAGGACCCTTAAGATAAGGACACTTTTTTTCATAGTGTCGACAACATCTTAATAGAGACAGTCTTGTAGACACCTGCCCTTCCATTTGTGATCAAGTGGACTGCCTCTTCCTGCCACTGGCAGTTACATAACATATTGGTGGCTACTACAGCAATAGCTTACCTGGACAAGTAAAACTAGGAAAGTATTTAGTGTTGTTTAAGTTGCATTTAATGTGATTTAGCAGCTGGAACCAAGGAGGAGAATTAAAACCATGTGACCAGCCAGATCTCTGGAGGCCACTAGAAAGTGGTTCATGGACCACAGTTTAGGATCCACTGCTCAAAGAACATGTTTGACTGTCATTTTAAAGACTGACATTTTTTTTCTTCCAGGAGAGCATCCATATTCAGGATAGCACTTAACTTTAAGCATGTACCTTAATCCCATTGAAGTTAAGGGAATTTAAAGCAGATGCTTAAGTGATTTCCTGAATTGAGGTCCAAATTAGTATTTGCTACTTGGTAAGGTACTTTTGTTTGATATGGACATATGCATATTTTTATGCATTTTTCGGGAAGGTTTTTTATAGGACAGTGATAAGTGTTTCTGACTTACTATAATAAATAGAGCTTATTTTGTATGTTGCTTTTACTTCACAAGAAAAAGGGTTATGGTTTATGGACTTGGAGGAGTTTGATCCAATACTATCCCATTTTGTTAGGTGTAGTAAACCAGACATGCTTTGGGTTATTCTAAAAATAATGGAAGGAATTTTTGTGGTCCGCTGGTACTACAGAAGCTTGTGAACTATCTTAAAGGACATGAAGCTAGATTAGATATTATGAGAATGTCACCTGGGATGTTGAGAGGCCAGCTGTAAAAAGGTAAAAGGCAAAACTGTGTGTAACTTTAGGGTCCAAAATGCTGTGTTAAGCATCATTTAAAGGAAGCATATGGCCTTAAACTTAAATTAGAACTTCTACTAACACTATTAAAGGCCAGTAGAAAACCACATGGTTTGTAAATGCCATCTGCCTATTACTTACTTTAAACAAACAGTAATGTTAGTGTACAGCTTAGAATCATTGGGCCGAATTCTTCCCTCATTTACTCCTGTGCAAAGCCCCTGAAGTTAGTTGACTGATAGTGGCAGTGTTGCTGAAGGGTAAATCAGGGCTGAATTTGGAATATGGATTATTGTCTGTTCATCTACTGACTGATTTGAAGACACAGGGTTCCTCTTCTATATGTGTTTGTGCTACTGGGTTTTTGAGCGAAGGCATTTAAACATGTTGGGAAAAACTGTACTCTTACATTTTTGTAGTATTGTTGAATTTCTGACAAGAATTTGTTTCTGTAATACTTGCATGATGGAGGTTTCCATCAGAGAGATTTCCTGGGTGCAGTGATGCTAATTAATACAATGCTTATCTCAGGGACTGGCGACCTTTGGCTCGCGGCCCATCAGGGAAATCCACTGGCGGGTCAGGACGGTTTGTTTACCTGCAGCGTCTGCAGGTTCAGCCAATCGCAGTTCCCATTGGCCACGGTTCGCTGTTCCAGGCCAATGGTGGCTGCAGGAAGTGGTGGCCAGCAGAGCCCTCAGCCCATGCCACTTCCCGCAGCCCCCATTGGCCTGGAACGGCGAACTGCAGCCAGTGGGAGCTGTGATCGGCCGAACCTGTGGACTCATACGTGGCAGGTAAACAAACCGGCCCGGCTGGTAGCGGATTTCCCTGACAGGCCGCATGCCAAAGGTTGCTGATCCTTAGTTTATCTAATCCTAGCCTGCTGCTATAGGCATTTGTGCTGCCCTGGGCCTGCCAGCCACGGAAGAGCAAGACCCATACTGTGTGTTAGACAACCTGTCATATTTTTGAGATTAGAAAGTCTATTTTAACATTTGTGGAAAGCAAATGTAAATTTTTCTTCATACTCAGTGCACAGTGACCTGCACCAATGGTAAATGTCATTTGATTTCAGTTGCAAAATACACTTTGCAAAAATCAGCACTTGCTCCCTATGCGGAAGTGTAAGATTAGCATCCTTTTCTTTGTAGAAGCTCTGCTTGCTCAATTCATTCATCTCTGAAGGGCATGTGGACTTGATTTTCTTGCAAAGACAGAACATAGTACCCAAATGGAGGACGTATCAGATATTAAAACTAATGCAACAGATTTTTAGCCAAAATGCCAAGATGCAGCAATTGGATGCATCTCAGCTTGGATCCACGATTCTATTAAACCTCATAATTGCGCCTCTCTTCCTTCCCTTTGTGCCCAATCACTCCCAAATTCCCACTCCATCTCACTTCCTTTTACTGCAGAGCAGAGGACCTAAAATGAGCTGTTTTTGAAACGTTTATGCTACTATTAAAGTCAACTTTCCAGGCACAGTAAGCACCTTCAAACTGAGAAGCTCCTTAGTATACACCCCTTGCCCACTCCTATGTCAGATCATTGTTCTTCTGGTTTTCATATCCTCTCTTCTCATCCCACCCCTTATGTATCAAGTGATTTCTTAAACTTCCCTTCCCCTCTCTTCTCTGAAGTTAAATCTTTTCAGCAACAGTGTCAGGGCTTAGGCCCACCCATGGTCTTTTCTGTTAATCAGGATGTATTGTTTAAGGCATTGTGTTGGAGGGAGTGGAAAACATATGTATAGCTATCTAAAGCAATTCTAGTCTGAGCAAGCTCCAGCAAGATTGTAAAAAGAGTGAGCACAACTGGGCAGGTTTTGTTGGAACCTCCTTCGCTTTCCTAACCAGACTGAAATGGCAGGTGCACCTATACTGTAACACTGAATCTTCGTAATACTCTAAGTGCTTAGCTACTGGCGATGGTGTTGTAGAAGAACTGTTTATTGCTTGGATTGCTTCTGTTGCCATTTTCATCTGTGTCATGTGAGGCAGCTGCAGACTGTGAACCAAGTGGTTGCTGAAAGGCAGCGTGTTCAGTAGCTTTATTTTTGCTGTTCCATTGCATGCTTTCAGTTCTCTGTAGCCAAGTACAAATGTGTTGACACTCTGAGTTATAAGTCAGTGAGTTATAAATGGTCCCAAAGGCATTGTATATTAATCATTCGCAGTTGATTAACAACCTCTAAGCTTCTCTGAAAATTTAAATTAATGCTTGATGTTGAAAGTGGGTGATATTTAAAATGGGCTGGGCTGGTGGCTTGGGCTTTTAACTCCAAACAGATGAAGGATCTGTTCACTTGCATATGTTTTATAACAATTTTAAGACAGCCCTCCACCACCCAGCTTCTCTTACTGTGGAATGCACCAAATGTAACAGGTGAAACAATAACTGTTCTGACAACCTCAGATTCTGCTTGCCACATATGCAATACCCTGGAAGAAGTTTAACCGTTTTCCCTTTCTCTCCCCTTTTCAGCTCAGAGACACTAGGCACCTGCTGTTTTGATGGAACCTCACCACACTGCCACGAAGAACACCAGCTCATCAGAAACGACAAAAATTTGAGACTGAATTGTCATATTTTTCCTCTGAAATCTTAAACAGAGGGAAGAAAGGGCAGGGTGAATGTGTTAAACAAAACCACCCCCACTAATCCCATTGGGGCACCTGTATCTATTGTACATTTTCTTCGAAATTTAAAAAGATATTAGGAAATATTTTATAAAACTTTTTTGCAATAAATGATGCATGAGATGGTGAGAGACTATACAAAGTGTACGTGCAAGGAACCACTTGAATTATTAGTATGAAGAATCACTGCGAATAATTTTTTTTTAATGTGATGGTCTAATCAATATGTTTGACAGGCCCCAGTGATGGAGCCAATTGCCTGGAAAGATGACTGTAACTTTTGAACTCTTGTTTTGATTCTTAACTTTAGCACTGCATTTTCCATTCTCCAAGGCTTAGTTAGTATTTAGTATGGGTGTTAGCAGAGCTATAACGTGATCTAAAGCATGTCCGAAAGCAGCTGTATTGTAAAATATGAACAGTCTTGTTAAATGAGACCAATGTTTCCCAGAGAGGTTACGGGTAGGATGACAACAGTAACTCCATGAATCTCTAATTTATGGGAAAAATCTTCCCCTGTGAAAATGGTTGTTCTATTCTTATGCTGATATAACACTTTGGGAATTGAGGATTGTTGAAAACATATCAAGAAGGGCTACATCTCTGACAGTACAGTCATTTCGATTTGCTTGTGATGCTATAGCAGTATGGGATTCGAGAATGGATACTGCTAAGATAGGATAGCAGTCGTTTGCCAGGTCGTTGTTTTCCCCTCACCCCTTCCAGCCCAGAATAGAGCTCATGCAGGCAGCTAGTATAACAAGAGTTTCCATTAGTGTTTCTAATGGTAGTTGATTTTATAGCATCAGAGAAATGTTGGGCTGGAGGGGACCTCAAGAGTCCAGCCCCCTGCTCGATTTGCATTGCATCAACTTCTTTGAATATCATTAAATCAAAATTAGAAGGTCAAATTTTTTATCCTCTTTCTTCCTTTCTCCAAAAGATGTTTAGTAATAGTTATTTCAGCTGAAGCTAGTGAATGTTGACCATACTGCTAGAGTATTGGCTTGTTAATTTATTTGCCACTGATTGTTTTAACATTGTGCGCACATTTTCTTGACAATATGTTTTCCTGTGCCCTTCTTAATGATAGAAGGGGATTCACAGGATGCCTGACTTGGGAGAGTAAATATTTATTTTGGAGAAATGAAAATGTGCACATAATCTAAAGATCTAATAAAGTACAAGTTCCTCTTTCCATGGAAATGCAAAGGCTTGTACTAAACTCTTTTCCTACTTACTAATATTCTGATCTTATCAGGGAATGTAAAATATCTTTCTACAGGCTATCTGAAAAGAGATCACCTTTTCCAAGTCTCTGGTTTCCAACGGCACAAATATGGTTTCATAACCTGTGTGCATGGATCATGAATTAAGAAACCTTTGATTTCAAATCATGGTGACCATAGATGTATATTTTTTCCCCTTTGCTTTGGTATTTGGTAACAAATCCATATTTTTAGCAGAGCAGGGAAACAATAATCTATACCCAGGAAAGATATATTGGTGGTACATATAGTCAAAGACAGTTCTATATTAGAGATTTAGTAGTTATTTTAGTTTGATTCATGGTAACTTCATAATTTATTTATAAAACCAGAAACCAAAACCATAGCACCTGTTTCTTTCAAAAACTATTTTAGCTGCACGTTGCTGTTGTACAGTAGATTCAAATTGTGCTACTTTTCATAATAAACTGCAGATTTTTTTTTTTAAATAGAGAATAGTAATTATTGTTCTGCAGTACTCTTCCTTTCTAATGTAGTCAAAGCAGAGGGTCAGCGGTCTGGTCCTGCTCCACTGCCCAAAATGTGACCAAGATATATTATAAATTAAAGCATCTCACTCTTAGGCTACATCTGCACTATGAGCTAGGTGTGTGATTCCCAGTTTCCGTACACATACACGTGCTAATTCTCATGGAGCTAGCGTGAGTATAAATAGCAGTGTTGACGCAGTAGCCTGGGTACCAGCAGCAGAGCCATAGCTTAGTGGAGCCTAGACTGTACCCACCAGTCTCAAGCAGGTTTGTATTCATCATGCTGCCACTGCAGATACGCATTCTACCACAGCTACACTGCTGTTTATACTTGCGGTAGCTTAGTGACACCTCATGCAAGCATGTGTGGCGAAGCTGGGATCACACCCCTAGCTCTAGCGTAGACATAGCCTTAGAGAGAGAGGGGGACAGGGTGCAGTGAGTTAATGTGCCAGCCTTTTACCTCTGGAGACCAAACTCTAATTGTATTACAGGTAGATGTTGGGGGGGGGGGGAAGGGGGAGTTCTCATCCCCACTGGGGGAGTCCTTTTTATCCACGTGAAAACAAAACCACACCAGACAACATGGCACAAAACAGTTTCTGCTCAGGAAAAAGGCCCAGGACTGTAATAGCAGGGTTATTCCATGCTGGGATAGAAATGATTGATGTTGTGTGTGGAAGCCAGTAGTGCCTGCCTATATGACATCTGACTTTTAACCAGTGCTCTTATTGCCTCTCCTGCAAGAGTGCTAGCACACATCAGTTGGAGTATACAGAACATTATCGTGTGAGAGAAATGCAAGTCTCTGCATTGGAGAAGATGGGTAAATTAAGCAAACAGAAAGCTTAAAAAATAGACAAGGTAGCAAACTGTATTTGCTCATAAAAATGAGTTTATTTTCATGGGAAGTAGTGCAGCCATTTTGTTTGAAACCAGATTTTCATTTTGAAGTGAAACTGTCAGGAATATTTTAATGACTGGGAAGTACAGTAATGTATTGCTTTTCACTTTTTGGCTTTAGTTGCTTAATATTTAAGCTTTGCTCTGTGCTACCTTTTTGTCTGTATATTGAATGGTCACTATGCCTCCTTCATTTTGTAGACTTGAATGGGCGGGGAAGATTCACTTTTAAGGTTTGCTCAGAGGTAAATGTTAAAGAATGTTGTGTAACATTTATTCAAATAAAGCCTTGATTTTTTTTCAGCACTTGTTGAAGGGAAATCATGTGGAACATTTCTATGCTATAATTTTCCTTTATGTTTCCTTTTCCTTTCCTAAACCAGAAGGTTTTGATTACATCTTATGTCTGTTACATTTTCTGAATTAAAGTGGGGATGCTGATCTGCTCTTGAGAGTGCATCCTCCAGACTAAATTCCTACTTGACTAACACTGTCCGACCTTGAGTTTGGCCCATGTGGCTGGTGCATGTTAAATCTTCCTTGACCGGTTGGATGCTTTCCACAAGAAATAGTAAAAGCCCCAACATAGACAATGAGAAAAGATACTGTACACCATGAAGAGGCAGAAACAGAGAAAACATGATGACTGTGATCTATGGCTGCAGTCAAGGAGCACAGGGTACAGCTCAAGATGGAGGTACGCCATGGCAGATGGGGATTGCTGCAGTGGAGGGACACAATGGCTATACCCCCTGCATTGGCCACAGCAAGAGCTCTGTGCCACCCATGTATCCCCCGATGGAGTGGGGAATCGTGTGGTGACCAGCTAAAGCTGTCTTTGGTACCACTTTGTTCTGATGGTGTCGCACAAAGCTGCTGGAACACAGGAAAGAGCTGAGGCCTTTGAAGAACAATCTTTGCATGCTGTTCAATCACTGGTTTCTTGTGATATTAACACTTCAGACAAATCCATCTGTTGTAGGTAAGGGTAATGGAATCTTTCTCCATTTAGGCAGGAAACTCCCCACATTGAGTTGCATTATCTCATAATTTTCCCTGAAGGAGGTGAACTGGTTATGCCATGATGGGTAATTCACTTAAAAAAAAGCACAGCATTTGTAGCGTAGGGTCAAGTTGTTGCATATCTCCTCAAATGCCAGAATCTATAGGAGCTGCACTGTCTGGTAAAAGAAAAAATTGCTCTCAATTCCTGCAAATTAAATCTTCCATACTTAGGGAAAACTAACACATCTTTTAGTTGTGTCTAGGTTAATCAAATATAAAGTAGGTAAGAAATCTGTTTGGAAATGTTTATTAAGCATGTTACTGACTAAGCATTTTCCTCTTTCAATGGTGTACAATTTGTCTGAAGTGACAGATCAGCTGTGCAATACAGTTGATAATAGAGGTAGCCAGATACCTTTCCCAAGTATTAAAACTAATTTGTTGGAGTTAAATGATTGTGCAGATGCACCCAGTCTGTCGTGACAGCTACCTAGGATCTATCCTCCATGCTATTCAGACATTTTTGGTGACGTGCGTCATATTTTCTCTCCTCCAGTCTCTTGTGTGGACTAGAAATATGGCATATGCTTTTTCAGTTCGTTTTATAAATGTTCCTTTTTCTACGGCTTTTTTGATTATAGGAACTCTCATCTTCTTTCTCCCATTAGTCATTCATTCTTACAGCAGTCTCTCCTGGCTTGGTTTTCTCTCATTAGGCTAATAGGTGAAGAGAGGAAATCATGCTAAAATGTAATTGTACTAATAACTTCATGACATTGGCACTCCTCACTGTGGGAGTCATTTGCTTATGCTTCATGGCCATGGAACCCATGAGCATAATTAACAATATCTATTTCAGAGTTCTACAGATATCATACTGATTAATCCTCACTACGGTAGCACTATAATGAAGGTATAGAAGTAACACCATCCCTACCAATGATGATGTCATGTAGACTCCTGTTTACTGCTCCCTGGAAGCATCAACAAAGTGATGCTTAATGAGGGCGTAGTAGTATGTGTCACAACTCCCTAATGAACTTCATGATGCAGGCAGATTTTATAAGCACTTCCCAGGTAAATAGTCGGAAGCCAGTATAAAGGGGTACCGTTTCCTCTGAGGGAAAGAGGAAAATGGATTCCATCAAGGCGAGCCTTCAGTCATGCAGGAGGAATTATAGAAAGAGAGGGACTATGGTAAAAGAGAATATTGGATGACCTCCATACTCTCAAATTAGAGATCTGGTAAACAATGCAGGACCAGAATTGCATTATAGAAATCTTCATCCATACCCTCAGATGCAGCCAAGAAACTCACAGGAGAGGGAGAGAGTACAAAGATGGCTTTACATTACCTTTATGCTCTGTGGTCTTGGGCTGGGTTAGTTGCAGTGGTGCCAGCAGTAGGAGGGGCTAGCCATCGGCGTATGTGCCCAATGTCTTGGAAGGGTACAGAGTTAGGGCAGCTAGCCCCTCCAACCACCACAGCTACACTATTTTTTTGCATACTAGTTTGATCAGAACTAGTGCAAGTTTGTTTTCTCAACCTGGGAATTACATCCCTATCTCCAAGTGCAGACATACCAACAATGGTTAGTTACCCAGCATAGGTTAACAGTCTGGCTCCTGGTGACCCCATGGAGTGGTCAGCCTGGTGATTGCTGAGATACATTAAAGCCATTTCCATGCCCCCTTTTCCTCAGCCATGCCCTCCCCTCCAGCTGTAGGGGATAGTAGCCATTACAGCTGTTCTTTACTTTTGGAGGACCGCGTTTTCCCCTGATTGAAGTGAATAGCCCATCGTTGGTTATGGCAGCTTTAGGGCTGCTTTGCATAGAGCAGTCCTAATGCAGAGAAGAATACGGGCCATTGTTTCCAGAAACCATCTTTTCTCTCTCCATCCTCAGTTAGGTGGCAGAGGAATACACGCACTGACAAATGCTAAGCGTGTGAGCGCAAGGAAACTGAGAATGTCAACAGAATTGCAGAGCAGTGTCAGCAGCCCTGCAAGCAGCTGTTGGAATATCAACAGGCCACTGTGAACTTTCATATTAACTGCCACTCCCTCTTTTTTTTTTTTTTTTCTTGCTCGCTTGTCCTCCCTGAAGTTGTTTTCAAATAGACTTGTCAGTCACCATCTTCTCACTTATCTCTTCATGCAGAAAGACTGCGTAATAATGACTCTTGAAAGGAAGTGGACAGAGATACAACATGCTGCATGGTACAAGAAAAAGGAACAAACTGATTTCCTCTTTTGGACAGAGCACTGCCAGCTATAATACTTCAACTGCTGCCTGCAGCCCTGTTTATAACTCCTTTCTGTGTGACTCTGTCCCAAGCCCTGCAGTTTCTGTGGTCTTTACTTGTGCTGCAGACTCATAGCCTAAGACAATCTTGAAACACAAGCTGTGGAAATTGCAAAGGGAGCAATTTGAATGTGTAACAGGAACCATCTATGCTTTTTAGGTTTTGGCAATTCTGAAATTAGGATGAATTTTCAAAGCCAAGGATTAACGGTGGCAATTCTGAAATTGTACCCTTCAGCTAAGGCCTCTGACTTCAGCTGAGGATTCAGGAATTTGATTTTCAAAATGCAGCTAAGTAATTACTGATACCTAGCTGCTGATGTGCCCACTTTTAGGTAAATGCCAGGGCCCCAAGTAACGAGCAGGGAAACAAGCAGGGACTGTGTAGAATCCATTGTGTAATAGGAAGAATCCACGCAGAATTAAGGTGAATTCAAGACCTCAGCAATACCAACATTGCTCAGCTGGTTCTGTTACTGATAGGTTCACATAGGAAAGAGAAATGGTACAGACTAAAGGCACCATATTATTGGGCCACTGTGCCATGCTTTGATCTCAAAATACAGCTTTCCTGGAAATGTAAGATCACATCAGAAACCATCCATTACCAGCAGTGTCTTGGCTCAGTGACTGATATTACCCCAGGGGGCACAATCCTACTCCCAGCGGGGCAAGTTCTGATCTGTGAGCTGCAGATGCAGTGGGAGAGGGGAAGGGATGCTGCTTGTATTACGTGTTTTGGGATAGAGGTATACATTTGTATTGTATACAGTGGTCACTGTGAACTTGCAACCTCTCTTCTACGGCTAACTGAATCCACGCTGAGAGAAATGCCAGAACCTAAAATCCCCACGCTGAAATGAGACTGTTTGGACTTTTCTAACCCTAGGTCTAAAAGATGATGCACTGGGAAAAGCTACACTGACAAAGCATTTAGATAAATAGAATGCAAACATCCCTCCTCCTGCGTGCACATGTGCGTACTCTTTCTCTGCTTTTGGTGGACATTTTGCCACTGGGTATTGGTTAGCAGAAGTCTGGGAATGAAATAGGCCTAGATGCTGTACATTCAGAATGCTGTTTTGTGGCTAGCTGCTAGAAAAGCTATCAGCATCCAGGGCTCTGAATCGCCTAGAATCCCCTCTTTCCTGCCCTCTCAGTTGATTGACGGGTCAGTCTGAAGCTACTGTGTTATACTATTAGAGCTACAGCAGATGTAACATATCTTCCAACATCTAAGGTTCTAGCTACACGGGGCATTTTACATTCTAATCCCAGAAGCCGCTTAGAAAAAAAGACCTTGAACAATGTGTAAATATTTATATCAGATCAACCACCATGGTTAATGCTGGGGATCTGAAAAAGGCTTCCTGTACTGCAGCTGGTTGCTAATAACGAGTCACATTCTTAGTCTGCTGTAGTTTGGGAATCATGTTTATATGGGACTGTTAGTTACTCCAGTCACCTAAAGAAGGGCTGAAGGACTCACCATGATGCAAACAGCAAGAAGTATAAAATGAAATCTGGTTTTCTAGTCCTGCCCAGGAACAGACTGGCCTAATAGTCTTAGTGGAGCTAAAAAAGGTAAACCTATTTCAAGCCCCCAAGCCACATGTTCAGTTAAATGAGTATCCGCTTTCTAAATTCTCTCTCAAGGAGCCAATTGCTAGAGAGAGAGAAAACTGAAGTATGGATTTCCAATGTTGAGTCTCAATTGAAAATGGTCACAGTTATAGTTGGGAAGATTACCCACCAAACACACACAATTAGAAGTGAGAGGTTAACAGTTTTCAGCTGTTTTAAGTGCTTAATACACAGGTTTTGCTTTGTCAAGATAGGCTGTAATGACTCTGATGGCTTAAAGCCCCACAAGCCTAGAACCTGACAATTTACTGTGTCTCGAGAAGCTGTTTTCTTGACAAACCCACAACTAGTCATACTGCCTAGCAAGTACGCCCTTTGGAGTAGATTTCAGAGTAACAGCCGTGTTAG